AGTTAGACTAGAGTGACTTTTTTCCTCAATAATTCTTTATAAAAATAGGAATTAAAGTCAGGATTCAGAAACCTCATTAAGCTCATGACCATTTAGAAATGAGGAAGAACATTTTGGTATTATACTAAATCACACATTCTAATGAAACAGGTGTTGCAGGTTTACAAACTATACTTTCTATTAACATTTTAATTTTAAAGGAAGCGTTTTAGTCTTAGACTGAGGAGAATAAAGCAACATAAAACCCAAACAAAACCAACCAAACCAGGAAACAAAACCTAATATATTAGTTTTCAATGAACATTATTCAGTGACTCTTTCATCTAAAAAAACCCCAAATCCAACAAACCAACCAAAACACAAACCAACCTCCCCCCCTCAAACACCCCAAAACCCCACAGTTGTTTATATACCTGTCACTCTATTCCCACTGCAGAAAACAACTCCCTGTTGAATACAGGCTACGAGTAAAGTAAGGTATCTACACTTCTGACCCCACCGCACTTGAGCGCATCAGTAGTCGCATCTCAAGCCATGGGCTCTTTTGGAAGGTAAGGGATGACCTCACTAAGCTTGAGCTACATCAGTCAGACTCAAACTGGTTTTAGTACCAGCAGTTTTGTTTCCTACTTGCAACAGGTGCTACTGGCAGCAGCAGACAATGTGGGAAGCCTCCAAATACCTCAGAAAACTAGGTGACTTGAGCTGGTGCTTGAGACAATTCACCTATCGATGCCTTTCATAGCTGTTACCACTGCTCCCTCATTCTCCTTACTTTCCTTCTCCCTAAATTGTTTTCTTCCAAATTAATAAACGCATTGGAAAGCAAACCAACATAATACATTTGAGAGGGAGGACTTAGGAGTCTCGACAGGTGGAGCCTGAAGGGATCAGTCAGTGGAAAAAGGCCTGAAAAGCAAGCCAGCCTGTCAGAAGTCCCTCCCCCAGTGCCTGTTTCTAGTCACTGTATTATCCCTGTATAGTACTGAAAATGCAATAGTAACCCTGAAGTTACTGGTCGCTACTCTCGAATCACGCAGCAGTTCTGCGTCTGCCACGCACAGTACAGATGCTGTATACTGGAGAAAGGGTCACAGACACACACACAGAGGGCAAGTTTCTATCACAGGTAAAGGTACAATGCATAACTTTCTACTCCCCTTTCTATGAACCTCCTAAAGTAGCAGATTTATTTTTTGAAGAGTAGAAGTGAAAGAAGTGTGAGTATCCTTAGAGGAAGTGGCATGTATGGGTGCAGTGGCATATATCACTGCATATGACTAACACTGACATCCTCTGTTATCATAACCACTGTGAACACTGAGGGTAACCACACAGGTGGTATCTTTATTTCACAAGATTAAAGATACAGTACAAAATGAATCTGTACATCTTTCTATTAACAGAATTTGTTTACACAATTATATTACATTTGACCAGCCTTTATACTGATTTTAAATACAAAATAAATTTACAAAACTCCTACAAGACCCTTTAAAGAACTGCAGCTGATAAAAACAAAGGGTTCCCCACCAATAGTCCCTATTTGCCATATGCTTTTCCAGTAGTTCAAATCAAACTAAATCTTTTTAGTTTAATATTCTCTGAAACAAAAATAGAATTTCAGTTCATTGTTGCCTATCTAAAAAGGAAGCAACTTGCAAAGGTGTGATCCCCTTTTATAGGCCAAAACTAGCACATAATAGGTGGAAACTAGGTAATGCATAGTCTTAAAAGTCCTTTTACAACCTATGTGTTAATGTACTTCAGAAAGAGTAATATCTGATTATTTTTTTTTTACTTTAGTAAGAGCAGCTGACTTATGGAAAAGGACTAAAAAGTGAATAAAACTGTCTCATAAGAGTCTCACCTGGATGTTTATATCAAAGGCCTTATCTTCTATTACATTGTCCCATAATGGACAATATAAAGCAAGGAAAATGATTTCAACAGACAGCTCTGGGACAAGTTGCAGAGTGATGAACTAGAATGCTCTTTTCTCATTAGTTCAGCATTTCTTTCAACCAGCAAGAATAATAAATGTGTTTGATTAATAATTTGAGATGCAGACCAATGTCTTTCCCCATATCTTTCCACAGTTTTCCTACACATAAAACTCCCACCGACAAGTTACTGCTCTGTAGCTCCATTCTCCATGCAGGAAAAGAAGAGCATATGCCCAGGAAGGTCAAAAAAGGCAGGCTCTGGTCTATGTTACTATAGACAAAGAACACAATTTTTCCACTCAGAGCACACTGAACACACCCAGAAAGGCTTCTCTTAAATGAGGTTTCCCTTCTAAAATACTCCTGCATATAAACTGTAAGACAAGCTGTGAGCTACCAAATGGGAATAGTACTTCACTGCAGTAAACTGAGCAACCCAGCTCCTTCAGGAAAAAAGCTGCTTGATAAACTGGGTGCACAAGAAACAACATATTGCTATTGAGAGTTAAATATACTTCCCTTGAAATGCAAGTTCCAGAACAGAGTAGCAAGGGATTGTCACAAAAACTTAAGTCATGTTGTAGACAACTGATTTAGAAAACCTATTCATTTCTTTAATCCCTGAGTTAACTCGCCATTACTTATGGTAAGTACCTTTTTACTACTATGACTTCATTCAAATGAATGTCATCTGAAAAAGTTAGTGATAGTAATTTGGTGGAAGGGAAAAAAGCAGGAGAAAGACTTCCTTATTGCTTCTTCAAAAAGCAGTTCTTTAAAGTTAAATAACTTGCTGGTCTTCAATTGTTTTCTTCTGCTGATTTCTTGGATGTAAAAATGCAACAGGTTCAGTGAAAGTCAGCTATAAGACTGTCACATAGCAGCAACGATGAGAGGTTCTCATGCAAATAGGATAGTTTTTAGAATTTAGTTATAGTAGATCAAACAACCAAAACATTTTAATAATGCAGTAACAAAATTGTTAAACATCCTAAGAGACCAATACCAATGAACCAATGGTATTTTACTGAAAAACATTTTCCATATTATCATCTTTTAATTTATTCATGCCAAGCTAAAAAGAGCTATTAAGTGACAGAGGCAAAAGTACTTTAGAGGGAGTGTTCAGAAGTCACAGATATCTTAGAAACGCAGCTGGGGAGTGCTGTACATTTTAGACACTACAGTTATGTTCAATACTGTTCCCTCTGCTAATGATGATTATGCCTGAACATGACATTCCTCTATCACATGCTGCAACCCTCCAAACTAAAATGAAAGATTTGTCTTCACATAACCAGCATAAGCATTTTGAAGTACTGAGAAGGTCTACCTATATTTTAATACTAGCCATCCATGACATTTCTGTCTACGTAAGACTGGATTGCTTATTTTCTTTCCCAAACTACAGATATATTGTGCAATAGTCTCCTTACAAGTGTACCAAGTATGAAACCATACCAAAACCTCAATTCTAAATAAAGCATATTGATATGTTGCTGCCAATCCACTGGAAAAAAAAAATTTGCATGAAAGGAAGCCCTTAACCCTTTAAACACAACAGCTTTTGTCAGAAAGCAGCTAAAGCCTCCTCATTTGTATTTCGTTCAGCTTTAAGACAGTATAATCAGCAGGTTTAATGCTAGCACAGAACCAAATATTTAACCGCCATTGCTAAATAAGAACAGAAACTTCTGCATTTCTTGCCTCTAAGCTACTCCCCTGCTGCTTCCCACCCCCAAGCCCTGAAATTATAGTTCAATAAAAATTGTTACTAAGAGAAGATTCCTCTTGCAGTCTAAAAACATCAGTCCACAGGTCACGTTCTTTACACTCATTAAAAGGCCTTTGCACTGACCTGGTGGTATCAAGAAGCTATAAAAGATTAGTCTTCTTTCTCTTTATATTTTCTTGTTACAAGGGATCCTCAAGACCACACAGCCAGAGACGTTCTTTTGACTTTCTCATGTATGCCAGGTACAAGAGACATTGGCGACAGCCAGAGCACTGCTGTAATCTAGCATATGATTTTTATCAGTCAGCCAGACTTTGGAGTAGCATCACAGGCATAAACCCATGCCCTGTTGGAGAGAATATGCATCTTTGGGGCCCTTTTTTCTAGATGCATTAAACAGATGCATGCATGAGATACCACATACGTTTCAGAGGCATGAAGACCTTCTTGCAGTGCAGATCACTCACAGGATTGTTGAAAATTAAATACAGAACTTCCACCTCTAAACACAACAAAAAAAGTAAGCTAACTCACTGAGATTTCTGTCTCTGTTCTTGCTTCCGTGTCCACAATAATACTGGTGCCTTCTGCAGACTAGACTCAGCCTCTTTGTAAGAGCAAGTTTAAATAATTTAGGAACACTATCAATTTGATTTTATGTCATGATGTATTGCAAAGTACACAGGCTCCAAAAAGGTTTTAGAAGGATGTGAGATCCGGGCACTGTGTGGGTATTTTCAAACGAGCTTTACAGACCCAATCTGTCCCGATCTGCCTCCTGGGCTACATACTGTCTGCTGAAAACTGCCTAGTCTATTGGGAATGGAGGAAAATACTCAAAAAAGCACAAATGGAGAGTGGCATGTTTGCTGGCTTAGTTTTACAGAGTTTATAAATAATCCATGTTAAACCATCCAAGACAGCACAAAAGACCAAAGTGTAAGAAATACTAAGAAATAACAAAATAAGGATTGTAGAAATACTTGGGATGCAGATCATAATGTAAGTTCATACAGCTTTTAGACTTTAAATATAGTTCAGGTTCTTGGACTTAAATTGGCTGTAAAATTACTGTTATTACTTTTCTATAGGGCAGCTGCTATCAGGCAGGCAAAAACCTTCCAATGCTAGCCTTCTGCTCTCTTCAGGAGATGAAAAGGACTCTGAATAAAGAGGAACTAGATACAGCAGGCAACATTTTTGTAGTAGCACACTTGTGTTTCCATGAAAAAAGCCATAGTGTTATTCCATTGGCACTGAAATAACATTCAAATCAGTTTCAAAAGAATTTTTTTATCCCTGAAAAAAGGCATCATTCTAAGCAGCTTTCAGACTTTTTTTTTTTCCCTAAACTTCTTTGCGCCTCTTTTGGGGGAGGGACCGTTGATCCAAAGTCCTAACTCACAATGAAAATTGTTCCTTTTGGAAAAATCCAGTTCTTTCACTGAGGCTTTTGTTGCTATTGTGGTGGTTGATGCTCTGGTGGTGGTTCTTGTTGAGGCACAGCTGGCCGCAGTCCTGCTGGTCTGGGAATTGCCTGATGTTGCCTTTGTCTGTAAGCTATAATTGTTCCCAGAAGCAAGGCGATGATGGTCATAAGGTAAAGGTCCCACTCAGGCCCCAGCAGCTGGTCCATATCAATATGTGAGAATACCTCCCTTATCTAAGAAACAAGAAGTCCACATCATCATGTCAAAGAGCAAGAATGGGAAGTTACTTTGATTTTAAATTTTACTTGTAACATTTGTCATGTACCAGTTTTAAAACTTCAGTAGCTTTTTTTCCCCTTCTGAAAAAATAATATCGCATCAGTAACATTCTTAATTTCCAGGAGCTGAATGCCAGTAAGACTAAGAGCCATGCTATATAGGATGAGCTATTCTATTTTCTGTTCTAGAGATGAAAGTTCTTGATATGTAGCTCTGTGGCTTTCACATACAGAGCATTAAAGTACATAAATCAGAACGAGGTATGTAGCCATACTAGTTGTCTTAAAAGAGGAGCAAGTACCACACACACAAAGGCAGTGAACTGATCAGTCCACCCAAATTGGAAGCCCTCAGCAGATGATCATCAGTGACAGCATTAAGCCCCAGGGTACTTACATGGTACAATGCTGAGATTCATGCAGATAAGGTACAGGGAAGTTAAAATGACTTACTGTTAGTTTTGATTGAACTGCCTTTTCATCAGACTTCTATTTGCATAGGATTCCATAAGCATTTAGCCACCACACACTTCATGCTTCACTACTGTATCTGACGGTACTACAGTCATTGCCAACTTGGAATATCAGTGTTCTGCATACTAGCTTATGCGAGCGCTACATGGGTATTGCTCACGTGATTTAGAGTAGTTTGACTGTCCACTCCTGAAAGTCCCCAGTCTCAAGACTATTAAATTTTGTCAAACTTAGCTGGATTACCTGAACTTGTGTTTGCTCTAAGTGGTAATAACCTCTGTAACATTTGAATTTATTAAGTAATCCTAGAGGCAGTAAGAAGTCAGAATACTGAGAAATATTTCAGACAATATATGGAAAGAAGTCACCTAAGTTCCAGGGAAATAATTTTTTTTCAGTGCCACTCAGCAAAAACTCTGCACAACAGCTAAACTATCTAATACAAATAATATTTTTTCCCCCATAGAAATCAAACACAACTGAAGTGGGATTGTTACAGCTGAATATAAAATAGCATGAGAATTAGGGCTACAAAAAAGTATTTTTTTCCCCAAGCAGTGATTATGGCATTGTAATCATCTGCTTAACTTTGATAGCAGATGGTTATGGATAAGAACAGTCAAACAGGTTAGGGAAATTCTCTTTAAGGGAAGAACAGCACAGAAGAACACTGGCTGTGCACACTCCAGTTTCACACAATTGCAGAAATAAGAATTAGGAATCACAGCTTCAGTAACTTTCTTAATACGCAACAACACAAAACATGTCTGTCCTAAGTTTTCAGAAGGCTCAAATAAGATTTCTACTTAAGATTACAACTCAAGCTTCTTTAAAAAAAGAAAAAAAAAAAAGGGAAATACATTTGTTGGTTTTCCTTTTAATTCTGCTTTACTTACATTGATTTCTCGTACATACTGCAAGGAATAAATCACTCCAAGCTTGCAAAGTGCTAGGAAGACTGGAACCTGAGCATCTGGGCTTGCTTCAGCTGCCATGTCGTAGAATCGTTTTGCAAGATGAATATCCTAAAGTTAAGAAAATACAAAGCTCAACTTTGAAGAACTTGAAAAATTAACCACAAGATGTAGAGCTTTTTCTATAAGCATTGTATACTGTCATTTAAATACAAGGGTTTTGGTCAAGTTAAATGAAAACATTCAGTAAAACTTCCCCTTTTTTTCTGAGGGATCTTCATCTTTGAATAGACAAGGGAAGCTTCAATCTGAGGATGAAGCTATCATAACTGATGCAAGAATTGAAGCTCACAGAGAGATTAACATATTCAACTCTTGCACTGTAAACTAAGGCACAGAGCATATAAGAGTTATCTAAATAACATCTCCAACACCACACCAATCATGAAAGACTGAAAAAAAAACCACCACAAGAAGCAAGAAGAACAGAGGACATGTGTAGTTAAATAGTTTAACTTTCCTTGTTTGGTTTGGTTTTTATCTGGCTCTGCTTCAAATACATACTGTGCAATGTTAGGATACTTAGATACAAACTGCCTGCATTCACTCAGTCACTGGAAGGACAGGCCTGTGTACAACTTACCTCTGGAAGTGTTCAAAGTTGGACACTTAAAATAAGAGAAATCTCCAGGACTTCATGCCACATATGTTTATTTTAAAATTTTATCCTGATTGTGAAATACTGTAAAGATTTTCTGCTCACTGATACAGCAAAGCTTAGTTTCATAACACATGTGGAAATAACAGTATGAAAATCAACACATTATGTGAATGAGATGTACTAGCTCATATTTTAATATTTTAATTCAATAGAACAACTCTGAATAACCCTGGAGCCTGAAAAGTCTGCTTTTTGTGTAGCTATTTAGAAGAGCTTCCTTACCTCCCTTGTACCATGCTAGTATCAGTGTAGAAACAGATCCCACATCATGGCTTATTTTCATTTCTAATTAGCAAGCACTTCATGCTGCTTACATATTCTTCACTCTCACTTGACAGACAAGTGAGAACTGTAGGAGTCTGAGCTTTAACACACAAATAGCACTGAAATACCATGCCAAATCTTGAGAAGACCATGAGAAAATAATTAATTCATTCTTATTTTGAGCAGTATATGGAAACAGTCTTCATTCTGATATGTGGGCTCAGGAATTAGACAACATTAAATCTATGAAAAGTGTATAACAGTGTACACGTGTGAGATTTCTGAAGGGGCTTAGTATTTGGCATTGACTTGGTGCGAGTCTGAAAACCACCTATGTACACAAAGCATAGCATAGAATCCTATGTGTAAGAAAGGACTATTTATTCAGTAACTAAAGGGAAAATAAGGCAAAAGCTGTTTGTGGGGAAAAAACCCAAACCCAAAAAGTAACAAATACTATATTTATTCGGGATTATCCAGAATGAACAATGACCTGAACTGAAGTTTTTCAGGCCACCTTACTGGATCATTTTCCATAACTTTCAAGTGCTTGCAATCTTAATGGTGTGGACACAGGTTGGGAGACAGTAAAAGTACATATCCCTTTTTTCAACAAGCATCATTAGATACTATAGTGCTAAAATCTTTATACGACCCTTCCACAGGCCTCTAGTGGAAGAACAGACTTCAGTGGTAGACATGACCTGCTCCATCAGGAAGCATGACTATCATCTGGATAAAGCAAGGCTGCATACGTTCATCGTGAGCCCCTGTGTACTCATTTCAACTATCTATGTGTAGCTATCTCTCCTTCAGGTTGGATAATATTCTGTGCAAATGACAGAATTAGGACTAATTTTTCTCAAATTCTTAGCAGTTATGCTGAACATGATGTAATAACATTTTCAAAGTTTTTATTAGTTGCTCTAATTGGATTGTTTTCAAGGCAGAAACAAAAGAAACAAAAAAGTCCATGCCTGATAGGACTTTTTTGGTTTGTGGTGGGTTTTTTTGTTTGTTTGTTTGTTTTTAAAAGAAAACCTCCCAACTTTAGTGCTGTTGCTTTTAGCTGCAGGGTCATTTTCAGAAGTTAACTAGTTTTGAGGGCTCTGTTAAAAAGAGAGGACAGTCCTAAAACAAAATTTGAAGATAATGTTTCAAAATAATGCTGTTTGTGTACTGTATTGTCACTTCTACAGCTAGATCAGTAAGGAGTTTTCAAATGTTGATTGCTTTCTGCAGCCAAAGTAACAATATTAACCTAAGACTTGCCTTTCACTGTTCTGACCTTTTGCCAATTTAGGGGAAAAGCAGCAAAAATTGGTCTTTTAATAGACCAACGGAATAATTAAAAGGTGCATACCTAGACAAAAACCAAATGTCTGAAAGAGCACTGAAAATAAGGAAAATGAAACCATTTCTTACAGTTTCAGGTAACCCAGAAGATATTACTAAATTCATACATCAATTGCATGAATTAATCATACATTAAGGTAAGGTAGGCTGCTCAACATTAGTAAAATTTTAGTTAACTCATGGACAACAGTACACCATAGGCTGCCCAAGAGAACCAGATATACTGCCTTCTTTCAGGCAATGTAGTTTGTAAAGCAAATTGTGGCCTAGCCAAATTTGAAAAAAACATAGCTAATAATCACATTGCTGTTGGTGCTTATGGTTTGTTACTTTAAAGATGCACAGAACTTGTTTTCAAAATGTCATGATATAGAGAACTTTTAACCAGTGCTTCGGAGGATGAGAACAATCTTGTGCTAAAACACTTTGACCCTGGAATTGATATGCATTCATTTCATTAGCCTTCAAAGTCTGGAAAGTATTACTCAAGCATATGCAACTCTCTTTGCCAATCTTCAGAGTTTTTGGCAAATAGTTTTTTCCCTGTCTATGCCTTATTTCTTCTCATAGCTAAGTGTGAAGTGGATATATTTATCCATTTGCTATTGGAGAAGGTATTGGGAGACATGCTAACTCCTGCTAAGTGGTTATATAGTGCCCAAAGCCCAGTAGTGGTTATGGACTTAATCTAACATTAGTAAACATGCTGTAACAAAGCAGACTATCAGCCTACAGCTTACTCACCTGCTTGATGCCCAATCCCTTCTCATGCATGTATCCCAGATTAAACATTGCTTGGGCACTGTGCTGTTGCTCTGATGCCAGTCGATAGTGAATAAATGCAGTTTCATAATCAACATCAGTACCAAAACCATAAAAATGGTAATCTCCAAGTTTAATTCTTGCAACAGTATATCCTATAAATCAAGAAACAACAAAAAAGATAAAATAGCTAGGCAAAGAAAACCTTTTAGTTTCATATGAAGATGCACTTAAGGGCTTTAGTATTACTTTCCACAGTTCACACAAACTGTTGCCCTTTTCCCCTCTCTCACATAACAAATAAAAAAAGCTGTTTAAGACTTGGTTTAGCTAACCGATTTCTATTTTTGGGCAAGTCCTTTTCCCAGTAAAGTCCCTTTCCTAGTAATCCTACCACCATTTTTATTCCTATTAGTGGCATCAGTTGAAAAGCTGTATCATGTTGTTCATAGCCACTTACTACAGAAAAAGCTTTTCATTTGTTATACGGTCATCAAGGGCTTCAGCTTTGTTTTTAAAACAAAGACAGTGAAAACTTGCAAAGTAAAGTCTCTCATCATCATTTGGTAATTGAATACTTAGCTGTTCCATCCTCTCAATTTCTAACTTTCTAGTAAAAGCCAAGTAGGTCTGAAGATTTTCAGACAAAACTCTTGGGCTCCATTTGCATGATACAGTTGCTCTTAAGTAAAAAGCTAGTAGACAGAAATTAATGTAGATGCACCCATATGAAAGTTAGAGACCTCACACTGAAATATTTAATGATTAAGTTTAGTTTTGCTTATTTTAGGATAGGATCACAAGTACTAGAGTCTAAACTTGGGTTTGTTGGACATCAAGACTGTGTTCTTCACCACTAAGCTTTGCTTGCTTTGAAGAGGAAACTGCATTTCTTATAAATTATGACAAATACCAAAATCCTAGAGTACTTTGTATCTATTTTTTCCAAGTGGATTTATTTTTAGAAAAGTCAGTGTAAACATTCCTAATGCTGTTTAACACTGCACTATAATTCTACAGGGAATAGCAAAAAAACCCACATTTGTGTTTTAGTCCCTTTAATCTTCAGGATCTCAGAACGGCTCAGAACTGCAAGCATATTGCAATGACATTATAGCTAACAGTGGAACAAAGAAGAAAAACCACTCAGTGTGGAATATAACTAATGTTGAACAGGAGATAAGCTTTCCCTCCTTCCCTCTTTCATAAAAAAAGATTAAATCAATCATTAATGGCTCTACTAAAAATAAACTAATTGGAATTGTGAGGTACAGACATACCTTGAGAAGCTGCTCTATTCCAATGAAGCAAAGCTCGAGGATAGGTTTCATTTTCTCCTACTATGCTAGCTTCTTCTAGAGAAGAAAGTAATTCAGTTAAATAGCAGCATGGTATATGCACACGAAACCACAAAAAAAATCCCATGCTATTTAGAGTCAGTCTGCTGATAGGAATTAAAAACTTGAAGTAATCTGTGCTATATCACAAACAAGATTCAACCTGTCTGAAACTTAAAAAAAACCCCTTTCATTTATATGGTATTTCCATATATCTGCCCACATAAGAGCTTATCATTTCACCCTGAAATATTGCTTACCAAGTGTCTCTCCCATTCCTGC